TTCTCTCAAATTTTCATTGTGTATTTCTTGGTGTGGTGTGGCTCTATAAATTTTTTCTTGATTTCGAGTTTTTTCACGTTAAATTCTAGCTGATGTTCTTTATTTCCACTGCATTTTCTCTTTCTTATTTATGTTGTGTAGTTTACTTCCCTAACAAAAAGTCCTATATATTCCTCAAATTAAAGTTGCACCAAACATACACAAGCTCATTTAGCGACTGATACTACAAATATTTTATTTTCTTTGTATGATTGGACAATAATATTACCATTTCAAACTTTTTTTTGTAAAATAAAAAATGTTATTGTTGACGTTGATTTTGCCAGACCCTAGATCCAAGGGGTTGACTTGGTCAAATTGACCAGGCCAAGCCCTCAGACCCATCCCAATCAGTTTAGTGAGTCAACCTGAGTTTGCTGAGCCCAGGCCCAGCTCCTGGGTCAACAATTATAATTTCTTTTGCATCTAGAAGATGAAAATATTTGACTAAGAACAAAAATAATAAACTTTAATATTTTGCCAACTTTGAATCAGTGAGGAACTTGCTAGTTACAAATACTTATAAATCATGCTTATATTCATATATTATTTTCAAAATATATTTGTTTAACTAATATAATATGAAGATATGACTACAAATAAATATTACCTCCTTCAAAACTCATAACTATATCTGGCATAAGAGACATGCTATTAATTAATATTTTTTAAAATAAAATTCATACAAAATACAGTATAAGGTAGCCAATAAATATCATCATAATTTCTATGTAACATCTCTGACATTTTTTATAATTCATAGTATTATCATTTGACATTTGAACTACATTTTCTAAATCAGCGCACTCAACTATTTCAGTAACCAAAGCAAATAGAGAAACTGCATCATTCATGACATCAGAGTTCTCAACAGATTTTTTAAAAAAATAGAAAGTTAGTCAAATTTGTATTTCTATTATTTGTCTAACTATCAGCCATCACATTGCATCTAGTTTCTTTCTAGCTATATCGATAAGACTCGGGATCTGTTTGGGATGACTGTAATTTCACATAAAAGTGATTGGAAAACTGTTATAGAGAAAGCAACTTTTTTGAAAGCTGCTATAGAAAGTATGTTAATAGTATAGATATTTATTTCATATAGTGAAATAATAATAATCAAATTAAAATTATGATTGCAATATGAAAAATTAAGGGGTGTCAATTTCGGGTCACGGGTCGGGTTTATGTCAAACCCGAACTGACCCGGCTCAAACGGGTCGACCCTAACCCGACCCGGGTAGATAAAACCCGGATTTTCCAAGTCGGGTACGGTTCAGATTTTCGTGTCATGTCAAATATTGACACCCCAATAAAAAATACAATAGTTAGAAAATTGTCTGAAACTTAGCCTCAATTGGAGGAAAAATTATTACGTGCAGTCATCAGACCGTTCGGAGGCCAATCAGGATGCATCACGTCAATCAGTACACAACAGTACACTGCAACGATACACAACAAAATGGTGATGTGGCATGCCTGATTGGCCTCCGGATAATATCCGGTGACTGCACGTAATAATTTCTCCAGTTGGAGGCATGTCTTTTTCCTTACAATCTCTCAATAGGTTGACTCTCATTCCATAATAAGAAGGAAGCTAATATACTACAAGCATAGCATTGAAGTGATGATTGAGACATGGTAATCAACTGTTTGTGGCTTTATCAAAATATTGCATAATCTATTTCTTAATCATTAGATTTATTTGTAACTCTTTTTGAGTCCATTTTTGTATAATCCACTTCTCCTTGCTTTCCTTGTTATTAAATATTCATCAGCACTAGCCTTTCCAAACTCATATTGATAAGGAGAGATTATTAAAATTAAGATCTGTCACTTAAAATTAAAAGAATATTTTTCCCATAAATTTATCAAAAGGAGCTATCAAGATTGAATCAGTGCAAAAATGATCTCTGAAACATATTTGTCCAATCATCATCCTCAGTCATTGAGATCTGATTGTCATTATATATACATATATATTAAAATAAAGAGAGATTTACATACGTACCATCATATATACTACTCTATTTACATATTTAACATCTAAAATTTTAATATTACATACATACCACCCATAGTTCATTTTAATATCAAATATGAGCGATAGAAATGAAATATATGAGTGGTAGGAAAGAAATATGAGTAATATATTTAATATTAAAATAATATAAGGTGGTATGTATGTAATATTAAAATTTTAGGTGCTAGATATTTAAATAGGATGATATAAAATGACATATGTGTAAATTTCCCTAAAAAAAAAAAAAGACAAGCTGAAGAAATGTTATATTATGCACGATGACTTAAACAAATGGGGCAACAAACAAATGAGGGAGCCTCTATAGAGGAAAAATGGTACTTAATATTTTGATAGTAATTTGATGATAGCTCAATTGTGATAATTTTGGATTGAATTTTAGCTTTATTAAATTTTATAATGTTTGTCAATGGGCTATGTGATGATCTTATAATGATATATAGTGTAGGGGTGTCAAAATGAATTTTTTTTTGGATTGGATTTGGATCCCATCCGAAACTGGCCTACCTTTAACTAACCCAACCCGCCTCCAAGTTGACTCGATCTGACATGAACAACCGACTCGATTGGTGTGTGATAGGTTATAAAGTGCTCGATCAAGTGATCGTGCGCAATGCGACAGAGTTTCAAGTTTTCAGGTTGACTCAAACCCGATCCAAAATTGCAATCAGGTCAGAATATGAAATCCGAACCCAACCCATTTCCAAATTGGTTGACCCAGACCCAGAAGTTTTAGGTTGCGTTCGAGCCAAGTTTTCAGGTTGTATCAAATATTGATGCCCCTAATGTAGTGTAGATTTACGTTATTACACTGTCTTATAACGACCAATGGACTTAAAAAATTTGGGATTCATTTATCCACATATTTTTATCTCCTTTTTGAACTCATTTCTATAATTCTTTTAGTTTCTTTGATAGGTGCAATTACTATGGCTCATCAATAATAGAATTCTAATATAATAAGAAATAAGAACTTCCTTTTTTAAAATTAAAGAATGAAAATGGATTTAATCTATTTTGTTTCAATCTACTGTGAATATCTTCTTTTGTTATGTATCTGAACAACTATACTTAAATGTAGTATAAAATATACAAAATATATATAAAAAATATTATAATGAGATTAATTTATAGTGCATCTGCTAGTACACTTGATTCTCTAATTGGACACTTTGTATTTCAGATGTAATTCCTTAGTGCAATTATCTTACTAATATGCTACATCTTTATTCAACCAATTTAATCTCATAAGGATTATATATAATATCTAGACTAGTTTATGATCATAATATTTATCCTTATGTTTACTTCATGATTAGTAGACCATGTTATTTTCTTTTATAAGATTGTATATTAAAACTATTCATCTTATTGGGTTTTATTATCATTTAATTTTGAAAATTTTCAATTTAAATTTTGCTAATTGAGATTTGTGCCGATCATGCCAATTCTTTAAAGAGAAAAATTCCCATAATTTTCAAATAAAACTTTGCAGCACAAAATAATCTTATATGTTAATGAAATATTTTATAAGATTTGTATAAACAAATTAAAAAGCTATATTAATAAGAAATACAAGAATAAAATGGATAAATTATTATGTGCGGAGATCGGACGCAGAACTTCATATGGAGACCAATAAGAATGCGACACGTCAGCGATATCGAGCCACAATATAGAGCGGTACCAAGCAGTACCGAGTCACGATACCGAGCACAGGGGTGACGTGGGTCATCAATATGATGATAAACCATCGAAAATCAAATGATATACGGCTTAAATTACGATTAGGATTTAAATCAGATCACTGGCATAACCACCGCACTACACCGCACGTAGCTGATGCGTCAGATTAAATTAATGTTAGATGGTTTAAACTCTGATAAAATAGTTTAAATGCAAATCCTTTCAAAGAGGAATGTGCTGGGCCATTCTTCAGAATTTCTTAAGAAAATTTATTGAGTAAGATTTGATCGAATTAGAACATAAGGAAAATCATTAAATGCAATTTAATTAAAACTTTTTTAACTGAATAAATTGTAATTTTAAAATGAAATTAATTAATTAGAAGAAAAAAAAAAATCAAAGTTGCATACTTTAAAAGTAAAATCTAAACATTCAGACTGATTTGATAAATAAAATTTTCATAATATATTGAATTATGGATGAATAAAAACTATTTTTTACTTGTGAAGATGAAATCGAGCAAATTTAAAATTTATAAAATTTTTGCATTAAGATTCAAATTTGAATAAATTTAAACTGAGTGATTTTTTTTTGTATTTAATCCAACCTTTTTATTAGTGATCTTTTTTACATCTCGCTTGAAACTGGCAGTCCACGAAGGATTTCTCCATTTTGGAAAGCAAACCTTACGAGCTATGAGCTTCTGGTAGATTTGGAACCCAGCCTTCATGAACTCCTCCCTTATTTCAAATCTCTGAAATCTCTCTCTCAGCGCGAAGCGAAGTAGAATGCTCAAACGAGTGAGTGCCATTTTAAATCTTTTCTTTCCTTGTCATTCTTTCAATGTCAAATGTCAATCTTTTTGGATTCAGGGCTAGAAAACGCCTTTTTTGGGCATTTCTATCCATTCTTTTTCCAATTTGCAAAGATCTACGACGATCTCCAGTAGATTGATTGACAATAATGTAGAATCGTAGATGAAGCCTGATAAAGTTTTCTCCTTTCCATGATTTCTTTCTTTCTTTTATGGGATTCTGATCAATTTTTATTTTGTTAAAGTGGATCAAAAAGCCAGTTGTGGGCCATTTTGGAAGAAGTGGAAGACAAAGCTTTCTTCCACTATTGATCACTTTCGTCTTGTTTACGTTTGGTGGTTGGGATTCGATGATATCGTTAGGGAAATGGAATATTAAAACCAGATTACCAACTAGAACTGAAGTAGAAGAGAAGAAATGTGAATGCTTTGGGCTTTGATGTGACTAAAAATTGTGATTTTGTAAAGAAAGTGATTTTGTAACCGACATGGCCATTTTGTTGGGATTCGTTGGTTATTAAGGATTAATTTATTAATGAGAGATAAGACAAATTAGATCACCTTCGGTCTTCTCTGTCTCTTTCTCCATAACTCCGCTCCCTTCCTATTTCAACTCGTTGGTTCATCTCTGGCCATTGCTGATCTTTTTCAATGCAGGTTTTGTTGGTGGAAACACAAGCACAGTAGAAGAAATGCAGGCAAACAAATCCAGGTATAGTTCCGTTATCCTTGATGATCATTTCAGATAATGTGCAATGGATTCTGAGACTTTGCTTTACTTTGAATGAAATATTGAAATGGGTGGGTGAACAAAGGAATTCTTTTGTTCCTTTCTTCCTATTTTTATGCACATGAGGTGTCTCACATGCAGCCGGAGTAGTCTAATATTTTTTGGGACATGATAATTATACATCATTACTGTTTTTTATTTATATCCTCAACCTTCTTTCTAAGACTTCGTTTGGGACGGCTTTTTTCTTGCTTTTTAAAATAATTTTTTAGTACAAAAGTTTCTTGAATTTTAAATCTTTTACTGAAAAACTGTTTTCAAAAGCAGTATAAAAGCTTTCCCAAACGAAGCCTATCTCTCAATGAGAGCCTTCTTGTTTCTCAGCTGTGTACTGGCTTCTTTTTTAATATATTTTAGGAAGATTTGATTATCATGCGGACTGCTAATAGAAAGCTGTTTTCTCTGTCTTGCTTTTATTTTGTGCATTAAGGCTTCTGGAGGCTGGAGAGCTTCTAATTGTAATTATTTGTTCTCGCCTGCTCCATTCCTTTTGGTATTTTGGTTTCTTCATAGCCCTCTGTGCTGCCAGCTTTCAAAAAGATTGTTTCTTGCACTTCTTACATATTTTACTTTCGGCAGTTCATCACAAGCGAAATTGCTAACGGTAGCCTAATTATTAGGGAATCAGATTACAATATTTATTTAACGGGTTTGTACTTATTTGAAGTTGTTTTGAACCCTTTATTTATAAAATTAGAAAAAAGAAGCAGAATTCTAAACTTTAAAGATTCAGTTCCTTTAGCTCATACACCGTTGTTCTTTATTTTTGGGAATTGAGATGTTCTCGATCTTCTTCCTAATTCTTTCTTTGTTTTTTGTTTGTCGGCTTTGCGTATTTGATTCTTCCTTTGGTATATTTCAAGAAGGGATTATCATGTGGCCTTGCATTTGCACTGTACTTCACTAGCAGAGGTTGGCAACAAGATGACTCCTATTACGAAACCAGCTGGTTTTGATATTTGAAAATATTTGTATTCTCAAAGGTTAAAACGTAATCCATGTAACTGTTGACCAAAATGCATGGCTTTAAAGTATTCTTTTTTAACTAATTTTTTTGTTTAAATTGAAAACATAACCTCATTTTGATTAACTTTACTTTATCTGGAGACTTGAGGGCATCTGGTTGTCACTATCTTCTTAGGATATTAATAGAGTTTCAAGGAAAAAAAAAATGAAGATGAGAGAATAAACACACCAAAGATCACAAAATGCAAGTTTATATGATTTAGGCTTCGTTTGGGACGGCTTTCTTACTGCTTCTTAAAAAAGCTTTCCAGTAAGAAATTTTAATTATTGTACTAAATCACTATTTTAAGAAGTAGTAAGAAAGAATCGTCTATGTTAAAAAATGCTTATTCAAGCTAACCTCCTTATTGTTAAGTTAATCACAAAAAAAGCCATGTTCATGACTATTAAATGCATAAAAAAAATTTGATTGATGTAATTGCAATGGAAAAGTTATGCTTTCATTGTGCAATACTTTTTCAACAATTTAGGTTTTATTTGGGATGGCCTTTTTACTACTTTTTAAAGCAGTTTTTTTATACAAAAATTTTTTGAACTAGAAAGCTGCTTCAGGAAAGCATTAAGAAAGCCACCCCAAACAAAGCCTTAGGCTTCGGTTGAGACGGCTTTCTTAATGCTTTCTAAAATAGCTTTCCAATAAAAAATTTCCTGTTCAAAAAATTTGTGCTAGAAAGCAGCTTTAGAAAGCAATAAAAAAATAGTCCCAAACGACTTAGATTTTAAAGCATCTCTTGTTCATGACTTTTAGAGTATAGCAGATTACTTTTAAATATAAAATACATGACTAAAAAAAATTATGTAAATATACATTGATAAGTATGTGTATATTATTATATTCCAAATTTTTTATGAAACCAATCATAATTAAGCTAGCTCTTATATGTATCCGGCTTGTTCAGTGAAATTTTGTTCAAGAGTGTCTCGTTTGCTGAAGGACCTTTGCATAATGCGAGTTGTTCACAAACATCGAACTAAATTGATAGTCCTAGTCGTTGGAGCTGTTTTGCACACTTTTGTTTCGTTTGAGACGGCTTTCTTTTACTGCTTCTTAAAGCAGCTTTCTAGTACAAAATTAAAAAATTTTGTACTAAAAAGCTACTTTAAGAAGCAGTAAGAAAGCCGTCTCAAACGAAGTATTTATCTTATAAAAATTGAAATAAGCATCTGAGATGTAAGTTTGAAATCTGAAAAGCATCTCATCATGATTGCATTTCATATAGCTTTAACATTTGGATATACTCATATACATAAATTAAGTGCTATAGCTTTGTAATTCAAGAAAATGGGTGGTTGTATGAAACTATGGATAATTCTTTCTTATATCTCAAGACTATATGGACTCATATCTGTGCTATTTTATTTCCATTCAGCAGGAGAGCATCGGAACCTCCTCACAGGATATCCACTGCAACCACTAGACCTAGTAGTTTAAGCAAGGCAGCTGGAGCAGATGTTGACTCTACTGCAGGTATTAATCAGTCAAGGAAGATCTCGTCTTACAGAAGCCAAAAGGAAAATGAGCACCAATCACACAGTAGTAATTCAGTGCTTGAGGTAAAGTCCGCATTTACTGCCTTCATTTTCTCAACTAACATGGTATTTATTCTCAATAGTTTGTCAAATCTAGTATCTGTTCATAGCCTTTATGTGTAGTTAACATGTTTTTGTTTGGATGATTTTGCTTTTTTTTATATTCATAAAGATGCATCATAGAGTATATCTCACAAGTTTTTAGGCTAAGCTTTAGACTTCTCAAGTTCATTTTTTTACCATTATTATCATTAACCTTATTCCAACTATTTGGGGTCTGCTTTATGGATTCTCATTCTCTAATCATTATTATTAAGGGGTTGTTTGGTTTGAACTGAAATGAGTGTAAATGAATACTTTTACATGAGTTTTAATTTGATTGGATGAAAAATGAATGCAATATAAAGCGTTTTGCCACTGTTGCTTATCGCCGCCATCATCTTTGAACTTTACTTTATATTCATTTTACTTCAACCAGACAACTCAAATTCATCTACTTTTATTTTATGCTAATCCAAACAACATTAAAGTATTCTTTACACTGCATTCCTTTTCCAGCCAACCAAACAACCCAGTGCTAAAGGACGTACTAAATCTATTTTACTCAATTGTTTTGGAAATAATTATATCTATATTATCTTGGTCTACTTATCTTATTTTATAATCCTATTTTTATCTATCAGTTTGTTGGGGAGAAGTAAACCACACAACGAAACAAATAAGAAATAGAAAATTGCATTGAAAAGAGAAAAACACTAAGATTTAACTTGTAAAAACTAAAAACTGGAAAAAAATTACGGAGCCACACCACACCAAAAAATCGACTATTAAAATATGGGAGAATTAGTATTGATACGTCACCAAAAATCAACTCGATCCAGCATAAATCTTGAGGCATATTCAAATTTGCAACTTTCAAAAATTAAAATTGGGACCATCCGAACTCTAATTTCAGCAAACTTATAGAGTTATAGTCAAATTGAATGTCTCAAAGAGGTTCAAAATTAGTCCAATCCGAGCTCAAATGAGTCCAATCAAGAGACTAAAAAAGATTTGGAAGCTTAAAAGTAATAATTAGCTGACAAAAAAATTCAAATATAACATGCTTATAGTTGAATCGACCGGCTCGACGAGATGAATCTAACGAGCCTAAGATCACTTAGTTTTAACATCATTTGGACACATAAATGCTCGACAAATACTTTATGATCGAGGGGGATCAATACAAGCCATCCTATAGAGCACTCCGAATTTGCCCCAGATTTTCTTCATATTTATCGGGCATGTCACTCTTAAAAATCTATAAATAGGCCACCACTTCACACATGAATGGGGTGCTTGGAACTTCGACATTTTTGCTAGAGACTAGATAGAGCTCTGAGGCTTCAAGGATCTAGAGCTCCACCCAAGCTCCACCACTGGTGAACATCTGTCCACCGTCATCGGACCATCGCTGACCACTGGCCATCCCCGGACCACTATCACCCGCCTACTACGATCCCTCTGAACACTATCACCCACAGACTACGGTCCCTCTGACCTCTATTTCCCACCAACTACTGTCTCTCCGACCTCCTTCACCAGCAGACTACAATCCCTTCGACCTCCGTTGCGCGTCAATTTCGATCCCTCAGACCTCCGTCACCTATGGACTAGGTCCCTCTGACCTTCGTCGCACACCAACTACGGTCCCTCCAACCTCTGACGCCCGGCGACTACGGTCCCTCCGACCTTTGATGCCCATCGACTACAGTCTCTATGATTTCCGTCATCAGTATACTATGGTCCGTTCGACCATGTCGCTCAACTACGATCCTACCAACCGAACGAACTTTCCAACTCTCTTGGGAGTAACTCTTATATCACTAAATTCTTCCAACTCCCATCATGTAAAGTGCCTTATATAATATATATTTGTTACATCAAGCTAAGGCCTTCCCCTAAGGAAGGGCCTCATTTTAATCAACAATAAACATTAGTAGAATCATTTTAACTAGGGCATGCCCTATGGTTTTTCTTCCTTTCAGGATTTTCCACATAAAAATCTTGGTGTCTCTTATGACTCTTGCACCACTCTCTTTATTTGTCTATTTGATGGATCTTCGTAAAAAGCTTGGACACTAAACCTTATATCTCTTTACCGCCGTGAATGTTCAAGTCTACAACAAATATAGATCTCTTCTCTCTCACGTTCTCCTTGTCTCTCTTCTTCTAGCGCCATTCTTACACGACTAAACAAAGAGATCAACTACAACTACAAAGGCCGTGTCGCTCAATTCTATGTCTCTTGTCTATATGATAGCGCCGCAACGCTGGGATCTGGAATGTCGTAGCATTCCTTAGCAGTGCCGCAGCGCTCCGCTCTGTCTTTTTCCATAAAATTATGTAGTACCTAGGCGCTCAGGCACACAATGCTAGGGTGTTGTACATAAGAGAAAATTTTCGGATGCGGAGCTTGGGTGGAGCAAGGGGAGGACCACCTACAAACCCCTCAACAAGCTTAACAAACTAAATTGAGGTCAAAGGCAACAACACAATCAAATTCCACGCAAGACTAACACAGTCTTATTAATACATTTTCTATGCTTCATCATACATACTCAAATCACAAAAGTCTATTTTTCATTACCTATCTTTAATAGATAATTTCACTTTCCTTTTAATATAATAATTTATTGGCTTATCTTTATTAGTTCGATCACATATCCATCATAAAGTTCTCATTTATGTCAAAATAAGTTTGTCTAAAGTAACTTTTTACTCTCAGACGCTCAGATGTATAGCGTTGGCGCAATTTTTTTCGATAATCTTAAATTTACATCTTTTTAAAATTGTATTACATTTTATTCTTCATTAGCTTTCGAACTAGAAAATTATGGATCTTCGTCTTTCATAAACTGAAACGGGGATTTAAAGACAGTAACTTGATGAATACTCAATAACATCACTTGCCTTCTTGAATTCTCATATTTTCTGCTTCATAGAAGAGGCGTCCAAGCCAGTTTACCCATCTGGAATCCCAACTTGGAGAACTCCAAGAGGAACTGAAAAGAACAAAGGATCAGCTAGCTTCATCTGAATCGAGTAGAAAGAGAGCTCAACAGGAAGCTGAAGAGGCCAAAATGCAACTTCTTATAATATCCTCCAAGTTTGAGGATTCTCAGCGCCAACTTACAGAGTTGTTAGCAGCCGAAGATGATCGAATACACGAGCTTCGCAAAATTTCTCAAGAAAGAGATAAGGCATGGCAGTCAGAGCTGGTAGCTCTCCAAAACCAGCAGTCAATTGATATGGCAGCTTGGAGCTCTGCCATAAAAGAGAGACAGAAACTCAAATCAGAGATTGAGATGTTTGTTAGATCTGAGGCTGCAATGACCAAACAACTTGAAGCTGCGAAGTTGGAACTGCAGGTTGTAAAAGAAGAAATTATGGAGAAAAATTCTGCCATGGAGAGGCTAAAAATTCAAATTGCAGAAAGAAAAGGTGTTGAAACCAAGGCAAGTGGAAGTTCTAATGAGACCCAGCTTGAGCTGGAGAAGTCTAAAGCTAGAGTAAATGAACTTGAAGACATGGTGAAGAAATTGCAAGCAGAGCAGCTAACCAGATTTGGCCAAAAGGGAGAACAGGTGAATAACAATCTGCTATCACTTTCTGCTAACAAATTAATCGACAGTCAAAAAACTATTTCCAGTCAAACAGAATCTAAACTGGAATCTGACCTGAAGGAAGCAAAGGCTGAGATTGCCAACTTGAAATCAAAACTTGTCAATAAGGAATCAGATCTCAGAAGCATTTCACACATGAATAAGAAGTTGAATGATGAGATAAGGGCACAGGTGAACCAAGTAGAAGCTGAATTCAGTTCAAAGATCACACAGGCAGCCATCGATATCTCGGAATTGAAGGTAAGGCTTGCGGAGAAGGATGTCGAGCTCGAGAAATTGTCAGAGGAGAACAATCTGATCAAAATAGACACGGGGAAGAAAGACATGGAAGGCATCAAAAGTTATGAGGCTGAAATGGAGGCTGAATTGAGAAGGGTGAAGCTGCATTCAAATCAATGGAGGAAGGCTGCTGAAACTGCTGCTGCTATTCTTATGTCAGGAAGCAATGGAAGGGTGATTGAGAGAACTGGTTCTCTTGATCCACAATATTTTTATGATGGAAAAAACTTGATGAACTCACCAAATTTTGATGAAATTGGTGGCGATCTACCAAGGAGTAAGAATCACAATGTACTGGCAATGATTGGTGGGTTTTGGAAGAAGAGCTAGCTTGTTAGTACCTGATGCCTGTAAAATTTTCTATTTTTTCATCCCAGTTTCTCATCAGTCAAATTCTTTAGTATGTTGTATGTTAATAATCAGTTTTTTTTTTTTTTTTTTCAAATGCAGAATAACTGGCATTGAATTTGGATTCTGGAACATGAACAAAGTATGCAAATTCTCATATTTTCATCTGATCGAATTTCAAATAATCTTCCAAATATTTGTGTGTGACTATTTTAATTCTAAAATATCACATTTCTTCAATTTAGTGTCTTGATCTCTCTATCATACAAAACTATGTGTTGTTGAAAGTTTTTTATGAGCTTGCTGTTTGAAGAATGGCATGTCCTTAAGAGGGATCATTTGATGATGTTATAGAGTGAAGTATTTTGAGTAAATTAGACAATAAAACTTTACTTTTAATGTAATGTTATGATATTTGAGGCATGCTCAGGCAAAACTCACCAATAGAAATAACTGAGAAATTAAATCAATACTATTTAGGGATTTGTGGAGTTTCAAATTCATTTTGAATTCCATTTTCATAAAACTAAATTCAGTAACATAACAAATTCCATATCAAATTTTGTTTATTTATTTACAAGTAATTAAATAAAACCTTATTATCAAGAAAGGGAAGAGTAGGGGAGAAGATGACCATTTTCTATTTTACATTCTTCAATAAAAGTAAATGAGAAATTAAATGCATTGATATTATTATCAATTTTACTGTAATTGGATATTAACTAAATTAGAAAAGAAAATTAAATTCTTATTTTTGTATTTTTTTTAATATGTCCAGTTCAACAATGCCCGTCAAATCAAGAGTAGAAGAACAGGGGATGAGCAAAACAGAGGGAACGCTTATTATTTGGGGAAGGAAACAGCTCGGTTTGTTTCAGTGAGATTTCAATTTTTCATCCTTTCCCTCTGCGTGGGTCCCACTCCCACCTTTGTGGGACCCACCAGGAGGAGGAACAACCCTCCTCTGTTCTTTTGGTTCCTCATGACGACAGAGTTTTCTTCTCCAAAATTTTAGTTCTTATATGTTTTTCCTCTTCTTCTCTCTTGCATCTTTCTTACACAAGAATAAACAAAGATATACACTCCATACCACCAAAGTATTCCACCCTTAAGAAAAGGGAGAAAGAAAAGTTGTTTAGCCGGTCTCGCAATGTTGCGGTGCCTGTTTGGAACATCACGGTGCTCAAGGCTCTGTCTCCAGTTTGTGAGATAGTGTGGCAACGCTAGATCTTGATATCTGCAACGCGCTGCTCTTTGCTTTTGCGCACAGAAAATTATATAGTGTCAGGGCGCTCAGGCACACAACGCATGGGCGTTGCACGAAAAAAAACTTAGTTGCACCCACACCCAAGCAGGGAGAGTACTCTTATTAAACTGCCTCTAGATGTTAGTTAGCTAGAAATTAGGAAGCCAGAGAGTAAATCTAACAAGTCATGAATTATTTTTTCTTATCAATTTTACTATAATTGGATACTAACTAAAATTAGAAAAGAAAATTAAATTCTTATTTTTGTATTGTTTTTTAAATATGTCCAGTTCAACAATGCCCGCCAAATCAAGAGTAGAAGAACAAGGGATGAGTAAAATAGAGGGGACGCTTCTTATTTGGCGAAGGAAACAGCTCGGTTTGTTTCAGTGAGATTTCAAATTTTCATCCTTTCCCTCTGCGTGGGTCCCACTCCCACCTTAGTGGGACCCACCAGGATGAGGAACAGCCCTCCTTTGTTCTTCTAATTCCTCATTGCGACAGAGTTTTCTTCTCCAAAATTTTACTTCTGATCTATTTTTCCTCTTCTTCTCTCTTGCATCTTTCTTACACAAGAATAAACAAAGATATACAATTCATACCACCAAAGTATGCCACCCTTAAAAAAAGGGAGAAAGAAAAGTTGTTTAGCTGGTCTCGTAATGTTGCGGTGCCAGTTTGGAACATCGCGGTGCTCAAGGCTCTGTCTCCAGTTTCTGAGATAGTGTGGCAACGCTAGATCTTGATATCTGCAACGCACTGTTCTTTGCTTTTGCTCACAGAAAACTACACAGTATCAGGGCGCTCAGGCACACAACGCATGGGCGTTGCACGAAAAAAAATTTAGTTGCCCCCACACCCAAGCAGAGAGAGGACTCCCTGCACCCACAAGTGAGCACAACAAATTGAGTTGATGTTCATGTCAACAATATGAATCGATTGATCGACACAATCATATTCCATACAGACTAACAATTTATTGGACAAAATTTTCTCAACAGGAAAGAAAAATCAATGCTCAAAAGCAAGTCCAAACGAAGCTTAAATTAATGCAAACAAGGAAACATTTTCGTTGGATTTGTTTTTCCTAAAATTTTGAAGAGATAAACATCAAAGTTCAACTTATTACAAATTAATATAAAACTATTTTTTCATGCATATATTTTATGAAAACTATTATTTTTTTTAATTTTTATTTATTACATTAAACGCGACAACATAAAAAATATAAAAAATATATAGTTAAAACTCATACTTCAAAAGAAAAAAAAAATGTACTAAAATAGAAGTAATTCCACTTTATTAAACTGCCTCTAGATGTTAGTTAGCTAGAAATTAAGAAGACAGAGAGGAAATCTAACAAGTTATGAATTATTTTTTCTTATCAATTTTACTGTTATTGGATACTAACTAAAATTAGAAAAAAAAAATTAAATTCTTAATTTTGTATTATTTGTTTTAATATGTTCAGTTCAACAATGCCCGCCAAATCAAGAGTTGAAGAACAAGGGATGAGCAAAACTGAGGGGACGCTTCTTATTTGGGGAAGGAAACAGCTCGGTTTGTTTTAGTGAGATTTCAATTTTTCATCCTTTCCATCTGCCTGGGTCCCACTCTCACCTTAGTGGGACCCACCAGGAGGAGGAACAACCCTCCTTTGTTCCTCTGGTTCCTCATGGCGACAGAGTTTTCTTCTCCAAAATTTTAGTTTTATCTGTTTTTCCTCTTCTTCTCTCTTGCATCTTTCTTACATAAAAATAAACAAAAATATACACTCCATACCACCAAAGTATTCCACCCTTAAGTAAAGGGAGAAAGAAAAGTTGTTTAGCCGGTCTCGCAATGTTGCGGTGCCAGTTTGGAACATCGCGGTGCTCAAGGCTCTGTCTCCAGTTTGTGAGATAGTGTTGCAACGCTAGATCTTGATATCTGCAACGCACTGCTCTTTGCTTTTGCTCACAAAAAACTATACAGTGTCAGGGCGCTCAGGCACACAACGCATGGGCGTTGCATGAAAAAAATTTAGTTGCACCCATACCCAAGCAGGGAGAGGACTCCCAACACCCACAACAGAACACAACAAATTGAGTTGATGTTCTTGTCAACAATATAAGTCGATTGATCGACACAATCATATTCCATACAGACTAACAATTTTATAGGACAAAAATTTCTCAAGAGGAAAGAAAAATCAATGCTCAAAAGCTAGTCCAAACGAAGCTTAAATTAATGCAAACAAGAAAAAATTTTTGTTGGATTTGTTTTTTCTAAAATTTTGAAGAGATAAACATCAAAGTTCAACTTATTAGAAATTAATATAAAACTATTTTTTCATGCATATATTTTATAAAAAACTATTATTTTTTTAAATATTTATTTATTACATTAAACGCGACAATATAAGAAATATAAAAAATATATAGTTAAAATCTCATACTGCAAAAGAAAAAAATGTACTAAAATAGAAGTAATTCTACTTGATTAAACTGCCTCTAGATGTTAGTTTGCTAGAAATTCGGAAGCCATAGAGGAAATCTAACAAGTCATGAATTATGTTTTCTTATCAATTTTACTGTAATTGGATATTAACTAAATTAGAAAAGAAAATTAAATTCTTATTTTTGTATTTTTTTTAATAAGTCCATCTCATAAATGCCCACCAAATCAAGAGTAGAAGAATAGGGGATGAGCAAAAAAAAGGGGACGCTTCTTATTTGGGGAAAGAAACATATCGGTTTGTTTCAGTGAGATTTTAATTTTTTATCATTTCCCTCTGCATGGGTTCTACTCCCACCTTAGTGGGACCCACTAGGAAGAGGAACAGCCATCCTCTGTTCTTCTGGTTCCTCATGGAGACAGAGTTTTCTTCTCCCAAATTTTAGTTCTGATCAATTTTTTCACTTCTTCTCTCTTGCATCTTTCTTATACAAGAATAAACAAAGATATACAATCCAGACCACCAAAGTATTCCACCCTTAAGAGAAGGGAGAAAGAAAAGTTATTTAGCCGGTCTCGCAATGTTGCGGTGCCTGTTTGGAACATCACGATACTTATGGCTCTGTCTCCAGTTTGTGAGATAGCGTGGCAACGCTAGATCTTGATATCTGCAACGCACTGCTCTTTGCTTTTGCTCGTAGAAAAATATACAGTGTCAGGGCGCATAGGCACACAACGCATGGGCGTTGCATGAAAAAAAAATTAGTTGCACCCACTCCCAAGCAGGGAGAGGACTCCCTGCACCCACAACAGAGCACAACAAATTGAGTTGATGTTCATGTCAACAATATAAACCGATTGATCGACACAATCATATTCCATACAGACAAACAATTTTATAGGACAAAACTTTCTCAAGAGGAAAGAAAAATCAATGCTCAAAAGCCAATCCAAACGAAGCTTAAATTAATGCAAACAAAAAAAAATTCGTTGGATTTGTTTTTCCTAAAATTTTGAAGAGATAAACATTAAAGTTCAACTAAATAGAAATTAATATAAAACTTTTTTTTCATGCATATATTTTATGAAAACTATTATTTTTTAAAATATTTATTTATTACATTAAACGCGACAATATAAGAAATACAAAAAATATATAGTTAAAATCTCATAATTCAAAAGAAAAAATGAACTAAAATAGAAGTAATTCTACTTGATTAAACTTCCTCTAGATGTTAGTTAGCTAGAAATTAGGAAGCCAGAGAGGAAATCTAACAAGTCATGAATTATTTTTTCTTATCAATTTTACTGCAATTGGATACTAACTAAAATTAGAAAAGAAAATTAAATTCTTATTTTTGTATTTTTTTTTTAATATGTCAAGTTCAACAATGCTCGCCAAATCAAGAGTAGAAGAACAGGGGATGAGCAAAACAAAGGGGACGCTTCTTATTTGGGGAAGAAAACGCTCTGTTTGTTTCAGTGAGATTTCAATTTTTCATCATTTCCCTCTGCGTGGGTCCCACTCCCACCTTAGTCGGACCCACCAGGAGGAGGAACAGCCCACCTCTGTTCTTCTGGTTCCTCATGGCGACAAAGTTTTTATCTCCCAAATTTTAGTTCTGAACTGTTTTTCCTCATCTTCTCTCTTACATATTTCTTACACAAGAATAAACAAAGATATACAATCCATACCACCAAAGTATGCCACCCTTAAGAAAAGGTAGAAAGAAAAGTTGTTTAGCCGGTCTCGCAATGTTGCAGTGCCAGTTTGGAGCTTCGCGGTGCTCAAGCCTCTGTCTCCAGTTTGTGAGATAGTGTGGCAACTCTAGATCTTGATATCTGCAACGCACTGCTCTTTGCTTTTGCTCACAGAAAACTATACAGTGTCAGGGCGCTCAGGAACTCAACGAATGGGCGTTGCACGAAAAAAAAATTTAGTATCACCCACTCCAAAGCAGGGAGAGGACTCCCTGCACCCACAAGAGAGCACAACAAATTGAGTTGATGTTCATGTCAACAATATAACCCGATTGATCGACACAATCATATTCCATACATACTAACAATTTTATAGGACAAAATTTTCTCAAGAGGAAAGAAAAATCAATGCTCAAAAGCCAGTCCAAACGAAGCTTAAATTAATGCAAACAAGAAAAAATTTTCGTTGGATTTGTTTTTCTTAAAATTTTGAAGAGATAAACATCGAAGTTCAACTTATTAGAAATTAATATAAAACTGTTTTTTCATGCATATATTTTATGAAAACTATTATTTTTTTAAATATTTATATATTACATTAAACGCGACAATATAAGAAATATAAAAAATATATAGTTAAAATCTCGTAATTCAAAACAAAAAGATGTACTAAAATAGAAGTAATTCTACTTGATTAAACTTCCTCTAGATGTTAGTTAGCTAGAAATTAAGATGCTAGAGAGGAAATCTAACAAGTCATGAATTATTTTTTCTTATCAATTTTATTGTAATTGGATACTAACTAAAATTAGAAAAGAAAATTAAATTCTTATTTTTGTATTTTTTTTAATATGTGTCCAGTTCAACAATGCCCGCCAAATCAAGAGTAGAAGAACAAGGGATGAGTAAAATAGAGGGGACGCTTCTTATTTGGCGAAGGAAACAGCTCGGTTTGTTTCAGTGAGATTTCAAATTTTCATCCTTTCCCTCTGCGTGGGTCCCACTCCCA